CAGAATCAGACGTGATTTTTATAAACAAAAGCAGTTTGTGTTTTGGTCACTAGGTGTTAGTTGGCATTGTTAGTGCGCGTTGATTAAACCTTTTGCGGCTGTTTTCCAAGTGTTTTACTATAATTTTCTTAGTTTTTGTGGCTTTTTGAACTGATTTTAGATAAAAAGCATGGGTCCTAAGAAAAAGATTTTTGAAATGAATCATCATGATAAGGAACTGGTTAACCGTGTTATCGATATTGTTGATGATAATTTATTAAACTCTTTTAGAAAACAGTTAAGAAAATGTCAACAGCATACCACATTAGACAGATTTTTTTCTTTTAGAGAAAGCCAGCCAGGTCCTAGTGAAAAAAGGCCAAGAAGGAAAAAAAAAAACTCTTGAAAAGCAGCTAGCAGTAGATTTGATGGAAGGGGACTCTCCTTCCCAACAATGACTCTCTCTCCATCCCTCCTCTCCACGTGCGTGTCCACAGATCCAGATCCTCATCAATCTCAAAGTATGGGCCATCCTGTGGTTCTTAAAAGCTTTTTAAATGTCGTGTTCTTAATTTAAATTATATGATGTAACTCTGAACTTATTTACTTTGAAATTCCTGTGTCATGTTTTGTATGAAAAGGCAAGGTTAGGGTAAAACTTGGTGGTCGAGGACAGATTGATCCGTTTTCAGTTATTTCTTATGGGAAAAATGGATTCAGAACTCGACTGCATCGCCTCTCAACGCTCCTTCTAGAACGGCTTAGCGTCAAGGTCCAGGGTTCTGCTGCAGGTGCTGATATCTTGTGTCGCCTGGGACAAGGGAGAGAGTAATGTGCTCTTTGTAAATAACCATGGGGCTTAGGGGGTAACGGCTTTTGGGGTTTGGAGAAAAGGCTGCGCGCATAGATATAAGGGAGAATTGGAACTCAGAATCTTGTATAAACATGGGATCTGGAAAGAGCTAGAGTGGAGTAGGGGTGGGGGGAAGCCATCCATCAGCTAAGGTAGAAACCAAGGAAGTTTGTCCTTACTTGCAAGGTGAGTCCAATCAAATGCATGCTCAGTAGTACTAGTTGTACCATGTGCTGAATGTCATGAATGTTACTGAATCGTACCCTTAAATATAGTTTGAATAGTAAACTATTGGGTACATATGGAGGTTAAATAAAGGCACAAATGTAGGTACAATAAAGGATAAAAAAAGAAAACATAATCATTGCCTTTCTTCAGGTGGTTTGCAGTCTGAATTTATTTTACTTGTATGGTCTGGCAGCCCCTAGCTGGGAAATTAGTATAAAAGATGGTCCCAGGTGGAACACCTTTAGGGCTTCCAGCAAAAGCAAGCGCAAGACTTCTTTTGGACCGTCCCTTCATCACCCTTTCCCCTATAAGCCATCCTAGTGAATGAAGTGCAGCTTCTGGAGCCCAGCTTCTCCCAGCACTGCTCCTCTCTCAGGGTTCAAAAATGTACTGTGGACCTGAGAATTTGCTTCGTGGCATGAGAGCAAATGCCAGACCCACTCTGGTTCTTGAGGTTCTCAGACCTGAGACTCCTTTTCACTGCTTGCTTCGAAATTGGGAGCTGACCCAGCTTAGAGGCTGGCCTTCAGCCTTGTCGTTGCAGTTAACAGCCGATGAGTTGGCTCAACATATGATGACTCCATGCGCAACAGAAGGAAACTGTGGGGAGCAGAGAACGGGAAGAGAGTATACACAGAGGAATCCTTTAGTCTCATAGATTAAGAAGGCTGGCAGGCTGGGTTTCTGGGGTGGAGGGAGGCCTTCACCATTGTGAGTCCCAATCACATTCTCGTCATTAATATTGTTCCCCACTATATCCTCCCATAATAGTGCTACCTTAAAGTGATCTCTTACAAGCACAAGGCTGATTGCTATGTAGCCGGCAGCTTTAACTATATAGGAGCAGACACGTGCTATTGCTCTCGAGGCTCTGAAGACAGCCACTCCCCCATACCTGCCCTGGGCACTGGTGTTAGGTTACTCCTCCAATATACTCGGTGACCTTTAGGGTTAGGGTACAGCCCACTTTATTATTACGCATGTGGTTACCTATAATTGGGGGGGGGGCTTGCATGCCCCTAGAATGTATATAAGCCTTGGTTGGAAATATATTCTTCCTCTGTGCACGGAGGGCTCCTGAAGTCATGACTGAGAAGGGGAGCACTTGCATGCTTTATCTGGTCTGATGCCTCTTTAATTCTACCCCTCAATGAAACAATTGCTCCTCGGACCCATTTGATTGTGGAGGCTGGTATTCCACAGGCAATGCTGCCTGTTCCTCTGCCATCCCCATGATCGGTTATGAAGCAGACTGCTGTGATTCACAGGGTTTTCATGGACCCATTTGCAGGCTCTTCTTCCTAGCCTGTTTTCATCTAGAAGTGGTGCTGAAACCTGTTCAAGATGCAAGCCTCTATAGCCTGATGGGAGGTGGTTGTGCCTGAGGTGCATTGGCTGGGAATCAAATCCAAATCTCCCTCGTGGAAAGTGAGAATTTTACCATTGAACTAGTGGGGCAAATGGTTGAGTTGCTCAGCTACTAACTGAAGAATGAAAGGTCAAGTCCACGGAGAGGCACCTTGGAAGAAAAGCCTGGCACTCTCCTTCCAAGAAAAACAGCCATTGAAAATTCTAGTTAGCAAAAGAGCACAGGTTTACTGGTTGGATAGAATTTGGTGGAACCCCCAAGATTATGGCCCTTCCTCTTCAAGTCTGGAGTCTGGAACTGAAGTCCCCTCCACATGAGAATAAACATCCATTTACGATCAAAAGGGCAGCACTGACCCAAAAGTCAAGTTCAGAGGGTTAGGAAAGACGGAGGAATGGAAACAGGAAGCACAGGGAGGAAGCAGGGTAAGTGATGATACAGTGCGGAGGGTACACTGGATTAGTGGAATCAGAAGGCGTGTGAATTGTTGACGGCAAAACTATGCTCAGCTCTGTCAACTTTCACTTAACTCACAAGAAAAGAATGGATGTTTTCAAGAAAACCCAGTACCACGCAGTTTTACTTCGGTACTCATGGGATACAGTAAATCAGAATCAACTTGGCAAATGGCCTCCAACCTTAGACTAGAGAGATTACTAAGCAAAATAGTCAATACCACCAGGGAAATACATTTTTGAGGTCTTGGTACTCTTTAGTTATCCAGTTATTTTGGCCTATGAACTCATAGGAGGGGGCTTTAAAAAGTTTGTGGAAAAATGGAATGAGAAGATAATGGAATTTTCCCACAAAGTTTCCCAAACTCTTTCTTATGAGTTCACAGACCCCAAATAACCAGACAACTGAAGAGTATCCATACTTCAAAAATAAAAACCTACACAAATAAACCACGGATTTTAAATAAATATGAAAACGCTGCTCCAGGCCCTTCCTAGGCATAAATCTATGGGTGAATATACACTGGCTAAGAGCACATGAATAGTGACGTCTGGTCAAATTGTGGACACGCTCCTGCTTACATTGTATTCAGCATTGGATAATTTTATCTTAAGGCTGTATAGTCAATTAGGGGTTAGTTATTGGAGACAGGAAGGCAAATCCACCAGTGACATAATGATGTAGTACTTTGTGGTTCCCTGGAAGACCAAATATTGTTCAAACAGTTGTGAAATTTTACCTCACATTCCTTGTCATGGAGGCCTAAGTCCAATTTAAAGTCCGTGTGCCAATATTGCAATGCTACAACCACCTTTATCACAAGAGGTAGCCAGATTGTCATTTATTGAGCGCTGTTCACACATGGCATTTACTTAGTCAACCATTCTATATTGAAATATTCCGCCTGAGAAGGCTGCTTCTAGGCTGTGGGCCTTGACGCAGAAATTGCCTACAGAGGTTTCAAGGAGATCCAAATGTCACCCAGAAATACCAACTGGCCGGGGTGAGCCACACCGGGAGAGTGCCCCTCCTCAATAAATATCGTAGAAAAGACCTCAGTAATATCCCAAATGCTTGCTACTTCAAACCATGATAATAGGTCAGACTACTAAAACTGGGCTCCATTCTAACATTTATATCCTCTTTTTCTTTGCTCTACTCTCAGATACCTCAGGCTGCAACTGATCATTAGACACTTTTGTCAAGGGGGGGAAAAAGTGTGCTTGTCAGACAGATGGGAATAAAAAAGTCCACACAAAAATTCTATTCTCCAATAACAATTAACTACGAAGCATATTGGTGCTTGCTATTTAGTCCTTTGTGAGTTAGTTTGAATCAGGATCTCCGAGATAAAACTCAGACTTTAACAACCGAAAGCAACAGTTGGACCAGGGTGAGCTCATTAGGCTAAAGCAGTGGTTCTCCATCTGTGGGTCACGACTCCTTTGGGGCTCGAATGACCCTTTCACAGGAGTCTCCCGATTCATAACAGTAACAAAATGACAGCTATGAAGTAGCAACGACATTAATTTTATGGCTGGGAGGGGTGGGGTCACCACAACATGAGGAACTGTATGAAACGGTTGTGGCATTTGGCAGGTTGAGAACCATTGAGCTAAAGCAGGGGTGCTCACACTTTTTCAGCATGCCAGTTACTTATAAAATGATCAAGTCAAAATGATCTACCAACTACAAAAATGCAGAACATACATTTTTCTGAATTCAACAAGTATTTATTGAGTGCCTCTTATGTGCTAAGTATTGTTTCAGTACCTGGGACACATCAGAGAGCAAACAGATCTCTGCTCCTGCCGAGCTTACAGTCTATAGTGTTCAAGACAACATCTCCTGGCCATGGTGAGCTGTGAGGGCAAGTCTGCACCTCTCTGTCTGTCCCTCAGCTGCCCATGGGGGAAATTAAGCAGGCCTGGCACACACATGGGTGACGTGCTTGGTGTCCTATAGTGCCAAATGGACACCCCACACCCCCCACCACACCCCCAGATAGTACATAGGGTCTGGAAGTTGATTTTTATTAAGAAAGCATACTGCAGGCAGGTCAGGGGGATGGAGCCCGATCGTCTGGTCAAGAGTGGGGGCAGGAGGCTGGGCTGGCTACACGAACTGCTGCTGCTGCTGCTGCTTGGTGGCTGCCTTGCTGGGTAGGTCCTTGGCCTTCCCGGTAGCTGCCAGTGCCATCTCCTTTGCCTTTTCTGTGGCTTCCTTGGCGGTTTCAACAAGCGTCTTAGGAGGGGCCTCACCTTGCAGCTTGGCCAGGATGTATTCAAAGCCCTTCATCGTCTTGGTCACATTGCTTTTAAACCGGGCCAGCCCAAATTCCTGGACAACTCGGGAGACAACAAACAAGTTGGAGGAGACCCAGGCTTCCCGGTGGATTTCAGTCCAGCCATTGTTGTAGGCATTCACGCGGCAAACGCAGCGCTCCTCCACCACCATGAGCCAGGCATGGTTGATGTTCCAGGTAAAGGTGGTCATGGTCTGATTCTGTGGGTCCACAACGGAGTCCTCCAGGATGTACACCGAGTGAGCGACATTGGCAGGAAACAGTCGCTCTGCCCAGCGGGGCATCCTGTTGGTCTTGGTCAGGAGTCGCCTGGACAGGAGCTTCTGGTCAGGAGTCACCTCCCGGTGCACTAGGTCTTCTGTCAGGCCATGCTTGCTGTTGGGATTTGGGTACCGCTGCCAGAAGGCGGCGAACACTTGGTTCCAGGAACTCCGGAGCACGCTCTGGCCCAGGAAATGCTTCACCATCGTCCTGGCCAGAGAGGGCTCAGCACCGGCGCAGCATCAGGAGTGCGGAGCCCGGGGACACGCGGAGGCCAGGCCGGGGCTTGGCGCACGCCTGCCAGCCTCGCTGGTCAGCGACCGCCACACTGCGCCCAACCTGTCACCACCATGAGTTGTAGAACATACATTTTTCATGTATTTATTACATTTATTCATAAATGCATTGAGAATTCTTTATATGCACAATGTATGTTTATGTACCTTGCATAACCCCATGAGTCCATATTGCACAACACAACACAATTAACTATGCACATTTTTTGTCATTACCTGAATTCACTCTGATAACTTGCACTGAATGGAATGAGCCAGGGATGCATTCCATTCAGTGTAAGTCATCAGAGTAAACTCAGGTAATGACAAAACATGTACCGGGGTCCTCAAACTTTTTAAACCAGGGGGCCAGTTCCCTGTCCCTCAGACCCGTTGGAGGGCCGGACTATAGTTTTTAAAAGAACTATGAGCAAATTCCTATGTACACTGCACATATCTTATTTTGAAGTAAAAAAACAAACAGGGCAAAAACACCCGGCGGACTGGATTAATGTCCTCGGGGGCTGCATGCAGCCTGGGGGCCGTAGTTTGAGGCCGCCTGGTCCAGACAGTAGCTGCTGACAGCCAGCCTCAAGCACACTTCCAAATGATCATCAGTCATGGTGGAAAGGTACTTGGACTTAATGATCTTTATGTGGGAAAAGGCTGACTCACATCAATAAGTGGAGCCAAATAATGCAGTCAAGGAGGTAGCACATTTTCTCATGTTTGGTACTTTCCCTCTGCGAGTAAGTTCCAGAACTGTTCCTGCGCTCTGGACTTGAGCTGAATGTCGGCGTGTAGTGTCAGAATCTCCCATTCCGTCTGAAAGTGACACGTGTTTGCCTTCTTACTTGGTCCAGCTCCCCCACTCATTTTAATACCCTTTCTCACGTTTAAGAGAAAAAAACAAAGTCTAAACATTGGCGATAACTTAGCTTGTCAGTTTTGCTGCACTTAGCGCAGTTGTTTGCGCATGTGTTTGACACCTAAGATTGCATCTGATTGGCTGTGCTGCATATCAATTAAGTGACGGGATTGATGACAGGCTTATGTCTATTTTTTTAATGCCATGTGATCTACCCACACAACATCTGCGATTGACTAGTAGATCGCGATCGACGTATTGAGCACCCCGGGCCTAAAGGGTACCTTACCAGCCGCCTTGCTGTCCCTTCTTGGCTGCTTACCTTCCTGCCTTCACTTATTCATAGTGCACAGTGGGAATGGTCTGAGACCCACCGATGAGGACTTTCAAGCATCAGGAGGAGGAAGCTTGAGCTTTCAGTGTGAATTCTTTACCCAGAACGCCATTGGGACGCTGTCCTGAAAAGTCAGTCACAATCTTCTCCATGGCCCAAAGCATTGTCCTCTTAAGTCTGCCACCTACACTGGCATTGGTAATTGGATTTGTTGACCATCATCTCCGTTTATTAGGAATCCTATCTGAGGCAGTTTAGACTGGAAAGAGACAGAAGGGTAAAGGGGTGCATCTGAGCCAAAGGAAGGGAAACTGAAAACTACACCCAGATATTTATTAGGCATGGAAGCAACTCAATGGCAGTGAGTTGGTTTGCATTTGGTTTTCTGGGTACCAGGTTTTTGTTGTTGTTGTTGTTGCTCTTGTTTGTTTGTTAGGAACCTTGCTTTTACAATAGTGAATAAGAGCCAGGCAAAGTCCCTGGTCTTCATGAAGGGACATTAATGCCTCCAGGAATGTCAATAGACGAAATGATCACGGTCTGTTGCTGGTTCCTGTAGGTTTGGTTTTCACGTTTATTACAGTACTTACCCCATATTACTGCAATTATTGGTTTACTTATCTGTCTCCCCTTTTCTGGGTTGTGGATTTTTGGATGTCAAGGCTGTCATATCTTATTATTCTGAGACCTAGCAAGCATCCAATAAGTAAAAGTACAATGAATGTATGAATGAAGAAATGAAGCTGGGCCGTAGAAGAGGCTGTTGAGCGCTAATGGCTTAGAGAGATTGTGGATATCTTGATCTAAGAGGAAAATAGGTTTTGTATTAAAAAGAGGAGAAACAAACTACAAAAAATGAACACTGCACTAAAGGAATACTAACTGGAAATCAACGCTTTGCTTCATTTCTTGTCACCAGCACCCTAGACAAAGACGCCATACTTTCTCTCTGAATTAACAAAACCTTCACCCAACTCATCTCTGCACCTCCTCCAACTAGTGTTTTTGCCTTCCAGCCATTCTCCACAAGGGAGCCAGAAAGCTTTCGCAAAAACACAACAAGAAGACATCTGTGGGCAGACCTCGTGCCTCTTTCACATTTTGCCATGGTTCGGGGTATAGCTCAGTTGTTGCTGTACTATGAACAATCCCCAAAGCTCAGAGGCATTGAGAAATAAAGATGGTCATGCTCTTTATTCTGCAGGTTGAGTGCAGTTTGGTTCTCCTGTTCTCTGACTCATGATTCTAGGCTTAGGCTGAAGGGGCACTGGAAGCATATCCTTCTTATAGAAGAGTAAGGGGTGCAAGAAGGCAAGCTACCCCATTCAAGCACGCTGATAATATCTCCTGGTGTTCTCTGCTAATGTTCCATTGGCTAAAAGCAAGTCATAGTCTCAAACCCGAAGTCCAGGAGAAAGGAAACCCACTCTATCCACTGTGCTGCCCTGACAAGGGCAGCGTAGGAGAGTTCTGGAATGTGAAGGGAGTGAAGAATTGGGAACAGTTATCCCATCAACCATATTTAGAGGGGAGAACAGATTTATGAACGTGGCCCACAAAGTCCTTCTCCATCAGATTCCTTCTTATGTTCCTGGACTCTTCTCTTGCAACTCCTCCCCACCTCTCGAATCTACTTATTGTCTTCTCCCGATGTCCTTTCCGTTTAAGAAATGGAGCACGTTCTCTCTCACTTTTGTCTTCTCTCTTGCAGAAACACCCTTGGCTCTCTGCCACACTGCAATCTTCCCACCCGATCCGCTCTCTCTCTCAGCCCAGGGCACCTACTTTTCCTGGCCATTAGTGTAAACAGTACTTCCAGCAGGGCCAATTAGGTCTTTCTCTACATCGCAAAAGCTCCAGCACTGGATATGATCAGCGGCTTTATCACAAGTCATTGTTTGGTTTCACTTAAGTTGCTCCTCATGACCTTCATTGCATACTTCCCCATCCTGACCCCAACCCCTGATACAATCCCCCAAATATTGCCCTTGAGTTCATTCCAACTCATGCTGTTGCTGTTAGGTGCATTGGAGTCCGTTTTGACTCAGTGACAACACAAAACACTGCCCAGCCCTGTGTCATCTCACACTTGTTACGAACCCATTCCTGTAGCCACGGTGTCAGTTCATTTCATTGAAGGTCTCTTTTTTTGCAGATCGTACACTTTACCAAGCATGATGTCCTTCTCAAGGAACTGATGTCTCCTGATAATATGTCCCAAAGTCCATGAGGCTAAATCTTACCATCCTTGCCTCTAAGGAACATTCTGGGCATATTTCTTCCAAGACAAATTTGTTTTTCTTACAGTACTTTCAATATTTTTCATCAAGAAAATTCAAATGCATCAATTCTTCTGTCTTCCGTATACATGGTCCAACTTTCACAAGCAGATGTGGTGACTGAAAACACCATGGCTTGGGCCAGGTACACCTTAGTCCTCAAAGGGACATCTTTGCTGTTCATCCTATACAACAGCGGTTCTCAACCTGTGGGTCGTGACCCCTCTGGGGGTTGAACGACCCTTTCACGGGGGTCACTCAATTCATAACAGTAGCAAAATTACAGTAATAAAATAGCAACAAAAATAATTTTATGGTTGGGGGTCACTACAATATGAGGAACTGTATTAAAGGGTTGCAGCATTAGGAAGGTTGAGAAACCCTGCTATACAAGATTTCCAAAGCTGTAAATATTTTTTGTTGTTGTTGTTTTAAAAAATCATTTTATTGGGGGCTTGTACAACTCTTATCAAAATCCATCCATCCATCCATTGTGTCAAGCTCATTTGTACATTCGTTGCCATCATCATTCTCAAAACATTTGCTTTCTACTTAAACCCTGGGTATCAGCTCCTCATTTTCCCCCTCCTTCCCTCCCCCATAATCCCTCCCTTTCTCCCTCACTCTTGATCATTTATAATTTATTATTATTTTGTCATGTCTTATACTGTCCGATGTCTCCCTTCACCCACTTTTCTGTTGTCCATCCCACAGAGAGGGGGTTATATGTAGATCCTATGATCAGTTCCCCCTTTCTACCCCACCTTTCCTCCACCCTCCTGGTATCGCCACTCTCACCACTGGTCCTGAAGGGATCATCTGTCGTGGATTCCTGTGTTTCCAATTCCTATTTGTACCAGGGTGCATCCTCTGGTTTTTGCCAGATTTGTAAGGTAGAATTGGGATCATGATAGTGGGGGTGGGGGAAGGAAGCATTAAAGAACTTGAGGAAAGTTGTATGTTTCATCATTGCTAAACCGCATCCTGACTGGCTCATCTCCTCCCCACGACCTATCTGTAAGGGAATGTCCAGTTGCCTACAGATGGGCTTTGGGTCTTTACTCTGCACTCCCCCTCATTCATAATGATAGGATTTTTTGTTCTTTGATGCTTGATACCAGATCCTATTGACACCTCATGATCACACAGGCTGGTGTGCTTCTTCCATGTGGGCTTTGTTGCTTCTGGGCTAGATGGCCACTTCTTTATCTTCAAGCCTTTAAGACCCCAGACGCTGTATCTTTTGATAGCCAGGCAACATCAGCTTTCTTCACCACATTTGCTTATGCACCCGTTTTTCTTCAGTGGTCATCCATGAGCATCATGGAATGCCAGTTTAATAGAACAAAGTGTTCTTCAGTGCTGTCCTCTGAAGTGAATTCTTCTGCGGGGAGGAGCAGCTGTCCACATAATTAGGATTGGGGCCAGCCCCTCAGACCTCTCTACTGGT